GGGTCATAATTGTTGTAAGTTGAGGATCTCATTCACTCCGATGTCTCTTTTCGTGGCCATTCTTGCACAACTAGATGTTTCTGAAATTTCGAGAGCATGACATGGGCACTCTCACAAAATGGTTGCCAGGAGATTGTGGCCAAATCTCAGTATGTCTGTTTGAAACTCATGAGATTACTTCTGTGTCTTGTTTTTTCCCCTGGGTAGATGGGCTCATTTCTAAATCAAGCCAATCTTACCTCCATTGTTTCAGTTGTTCGTTCTTAAGAAAATAATATAGAGGCAACTCAGAGGCATTCTTGGAAATAAGAGTGAGTTCCCCTAAGTCAAGGTATACTAGCATTTTAAGAATTCTAGAAACTGAAGTTCAAAACTTTTGTTGGGGAGCTAATAAGAGCATTGTCTTTGTCATCCAATAGCAACGGCCAATATTCCTTACAGGGAGTAGGAATGGGACAATTTCATTCAGTTTGCCTTTGGATATAGGTTTACTAGACTGCATTTATAAAATTTAAAGGCAAACTTGTAATGTGGTTATATATTGTATGTAATATTATGTTTATTTATTTAATGCCACATACCTCACTGGTGTAAGGGACACAGTGGCTCAGGGGCTAATACACTGACCTTGTCAATCAGAAAGGTTGGCAGTTCAAATCCCTAGCGCTGCGTAATGGAGTGAGTTCCAGTTACTTGTCCCAGCTTCTGCCAACCTAGCAGTTCGAAAGCATGTAAAAATAAAAGTAGAAAAATAGAGGCCACCTTTGGTGGGAAGGTAACAGTGTTTTCTGTGCGCCTTCAGCATTTAGTCATGCCAGCCACATGACCACAGAGATGTCTTCGGCCAGCGCTGGCTCTTCGGCTTTGAAATGGAGATGAGCACCACTACTTAAGTGTCGGAAATGACTGGTACATATAGTATGTGCGAGGGGAACCTTTACTTTTTACTTGTGAAGCAATTATTTTGTTATTCACTTATTAGTTTTTAGCATGCTTTTATTTGGTTGACTAACAAATTTGATCAGAATCCTCCACATTTTATAAAGCAATTTCCTGAACATTATGTATGGGGGAAACCCTCTAAACCCGCAACCAGAAAGAATTATATCAGGAAAAACTGGTTGCAAAAAGACATTTCTTTTGTAATCTGTCTTGGTATCTATATCTAAAAGATTTTTAGAATAAGGGTCTTGAGTTACTTCTAGATCAAGAGTTTAATTACTTTTGAGATAAAATACTTTTGATATTGGTTTAATTACAGTTCACATTCCTATATTGCAACCACATTCTATTTTTAAAAAAATCTCATTCATATTACCTTAAGCAATCTTTGGCTGACACTAAGCTGTGGCTTTTTTCATCAGTATTCTGACTGAAAGTAACAGTTTCTATTAACTTTGCCCCCACACAAAAAAACCCACCAGTTTCTGCTCTAAAAGTAAGTGCTAGTGAAGTACAGATTTGAACTATTTTTGTTCTACATGTATTATAAATGCTGTGCTTTCCTTTTATAAAATAGAATTTTCCATGACTAATGAAGTTCATAGAATGTCACAATATATTAATAGGTCTAAGAAGAATATTGTGACATAATAGAATTGCAAATACAGTATCAGATTCTGAAAATGCGACCATACTACAGAATATTTTTATTTGTGTATTTTTGATGAATATTTAATATTCATTCTTATTAGTATTGCAATAATGAGAGACTATTTTTTTTGTCTTACATCTTCACATTCTGGATTGTTTTTTGTTCTAAACCAGTGTTTTTCAACATTGGTACAGGTTGTCCTCGACTTACAACCATAATTAAGCTCAAAATTTATATTTTTTAAACAAGACAATTAAGTGAATTTTGCCATTCTATGATTATTTTGCCATTGTTGTTAAGTGAATCACTGCAGTTGTTAAATTATTAACACAATTGTTAAGTGACTTTGACTTCCCAATTGACTTTGTTTCTTAGAAGTTGCAAAAGGTGACCCAAGGACAATTTAACTGTCATATATTAAGCTGCAATAGCACTTAGACTTATATACCACTTCACAGTGCTTTACAGCCCTTTCTAAGCGGTTTACAGTCAGCACATCGACCCCAACAATCTGAGTCCCCATTTTACTGACCTCAGAAGGACGGAAGGCTGAGTCAACCTGGAGCTGGTCAGGATTGAACTCCTGGCAGTGGCTAGTTAGCCTGCAATGCTGCACTCTAACTACTGTGGACCACGGCTCCTACGTCATTTGCCAAGTGCCTGAATTTTGATCATGTGACTACAGGGATGCTATAATGGTTGTCTGAAAAACAGTTATAAGTTACTTTTCTCAGTGTCATTGTAACTTAAACTAGTCTGTAAATGAATGGTTGTAATGTATGGACTTCAACTCCTATAATTCTCCAATCAGCATACTGACTGGGAGATTCTGGGAGTTAAAGTCCACATATTTTAATTTTCCCAGGTTGAAAAACACTGTTCTGAACTATCTTTGCTATGGTTTATTGAACAAACCACGAGTAGTCCTCATCTACTAGTGAGCCATAAAATGATTTATAAACCATCAGGGCAAGTTCACATAAATATATTAAGCTGAAAGCCAACAAGGCACAGAGGTGAAAAGGAAAAAAAATGAATTACTTGAATAACATTCTTTGATAACATGTTAATAACAAAAATCCCACATTATAAGCCACCCAGAATCCCTTGAAGTATGCAACACATAGATTGTAGTTAATAATTCATGTAATTGGAATTAATTCAGCTAATGAGAGCAGCATGAAAATCATGTTTAGATACCAGTCAGCTCTCTGGTGCTTAAAAAAAAAAAAAACACGATCGATGGGGTCATTAGAGCGAAGAAGAAATAAGATGTATTTGAATAGCATTAAAAATGTAAATGGATATTAATGGAGGACTTGTATCAAAATTACACACATACAGAATATTCAGAATATTCATATATGTTGTTCGGTAAGTTCATCAGGCTGAGGATGCATATGATCTAATGTCTTAAATGTAGCGATCCACTGCAGCCACTAGACATGACTAAACTTTTAAAGACAAGTTTTGCTTTTATTGTATTGTCTTTATCCATCTGATAGTGTTGGTAGGTCATGTAGCCCGTGCAAATGTTTGATTACATTACATTTTTCTTGGTTGAAATACAGTGCTTGGTGCTCTTTGAGCTTGGTTGTTTTCTTGCAGATTTTTCATTACTTAACTAGTAAGGCCATTGGTAGGGTTGCTCTCTGTTTAAGTACACGTGCAGGGGTAGGCAACTATGGCTCCTTTATGCTCTATGGCAGTGTTTCCCAACCTTGGCAATGGGAAGCGATCCGGACTTCAACTCCCAGAATCCCCCCAGCCAGCGAATGCTGGCTGGGGGATTCTGGGAGTTGAAGTCCGGATCGCTTCCCGTTGCCAAGGTTGGGAAACACTGCTCTATGGACTCCAACTCCCAGAATTCCTGAGCCTGAGAATTGAAATCTACAGGTTGTAAAGAGGCCATAGCTGCCCACCCTTATTAGTGGCTTGCCTTGTCAGTGTTGGTGGGAATGTTGTTTTCTTCTTGGTAATTCCATGATTAGCCTATTATTTGCTGTTTGATTATTTAAGTTGACAGTTCCTTGATTGGGATACCGTTGCTAAGCCTTGGTTTCTTGGACTTAGCCACTGCTTGACATTTAAATGTTTTTCTAAAATGCAGGATAGACATCTAAGAGTTCTCACCATGAGGGAGATGTTTGTAAGAATTAAAAAAATAGGTACAAGATAATCTTCAACTTATGACTGATTGTTCAAAGTTATGATGAACGACCCCACAGCTACTTACAACCCAGATATAAAGTTTCTAGATTGGGCTATGTCCTCCCCCCGCCCTGCCACTCTTGGGGCCCATGATGGCTGCTCTATTCTCCTCCAGACATATGATCAGATTTTGGAACTTGGCAGTCAACCTACATTTACAGCTATAGCCACGTGATCACAATTTACCTCTTTTGCTGAAAATCAGTACTTAATTTCTGGCAAAAGAATGCTCGCGTAGACAAGGGGTTTGGTTAATGACAGCAGCATTTGCCTAATGGCTATAGCGATTTACTGAATGACTGCAGCAGAAAACATTGTAACATTGGGCGCAACCACATGGTGATACACTTAACAACCAGCATGATTTACAACTATAATTTCTGGCTCAATTATGGTCATAAATCGAAGACTACCTGTATTGTAACTAGTTTACATTCTAATTTTAAAAAAATTTGCCCCGGCTGCTTCCATTCTGTGAGCTCTGCCGCTGAGTGGTCCTTTAAAAACATCTTTCCTGTAGCCCAAAAGGAGTTTGTTACAGTGTCTGAGAATTGTGGAGCCCCTCTGTAAAAGGGGTGGCCAGATATGAAACAGTATCAGTATCTGGATGACTTGCAAGTCATCCACCATTTCTTTACCATTTGTTTAAAAATAGCAAGGAGCCCATGTCGTTTCAAACTCAACTTGGAACTGAGAATCTGGGAGAAAGCCAGGAGGGAGTTTTTTCATGTGAAATAATTAAAAACCTTAGCAATAAATTTCTGGTCTGTGCTAAACTGAGACCTGCCCAATTTTGTTCCTGGTGGTTCCAGCTGGTGGATCTTAAGATAGCTTAGGAAAAGCAAAGCCTGTATTGCAAGGTAGAAGGACAAACAACTGCAACCATTTGAAAATTGGTGCCTATAAATAAAAATGGCCAAATCGGCCAAAGAGCTCCTTCTTTAAGTTCCTTCTTCTATCCATGCAACCTTTCAGAATGGCAAGGCTGCATCTGAACGCCCGTTCTTAAGTTCTGATAAGTGAAAATAAGTACATTTAATTAAGATTTTCATGTGTGTTTTAATTGGAGACTGGTTGAATTAAAGCAGTTGAAATCTCATGGGTAGGAATCCTTCAAGATTTGTATTCTTCGCATGGTGGCTCATTTGAAAGCACTATGTTCTGCATTCAAGGAGGTTGGTAAACTGCTATTGTGTCAGTTGCCACCCAGCATAGGAGCAAAGAGGAAACAGATTTCGAGTATACAAATGTTGCCACTGAGGTTCAGGGGCTTTAAGCCTTGCAAAAAACAAACTTCCTTACAGTCCAACAGTAAGGAAAAATTAAAAAGAATCTGGCTAAATAATGTAATCACAGTGAATTAATATTGTTAAAAATGAACAAATTACACAGGTATAACTGGACAGTCACATTATCAATGAAGTCCACTTAATCCAGGATTAGTTTTTATTGTTGCAAAGCCATTATTGACAAATCAGGTTTATAATGTTCTGAGAGTTACATACAGTGATTATTAGTTATCTGCATGAAGAAACTACAAAATAACATAAAGTGAATATAAATAGACTTCCCTTTGTTCTTGGGGGAAAAAAGATTGACCAGGCAATCAACTGATTTCTTGTATCTCTAAAGACATTTTGTTATGACCTGGAAAAAATCCACTTTCATGAATCGAAGTGCTAGAGGGGGTATGCAGCCTAATATTCTCCAGATGTTTTAGATTATAATTATAACTCCGATAATTCAATGCTGGCAGCACAATGGAACTAAAATATCAAGTATCGGAAGGAGACAGATTACTTCAAAGTAAATATTACTGAGTGGACTGGTGGTGCTGATGCTTAAATAAAGATTGCCATTGGTTGAGTAGGCTTTCATCAGGATTTGTTTATAGCTCTGATATTCTGCAAACTCAAGGCAGTGGCCACAACCTGTGCAATTGAAAGTCTGTCTCTTTTGGTGTTGATTCACTCACATGCCCACAGTGCCATTGCATCAACCTATTTTGATGGGAATCATTTTAGGATTGCATTTTCAAACATGACGGAGAGACTGATAATAAAAATAAGCAGGAGCAAAGAAACAATGACAGGAAAATAGAATCAGACACTCTTCTGCATATTAATCAAATAATAGGGAGGCATTTTAATAATGAAAAACTGTCAATGCATGAGTAATCTTTGACATGGCTACAATTGGGACGAGCTTCCATCACGAAGCGGTGCAGTCATTAAATGAGACACACATGAATTTACATCCTTCTTTTTCCATTCAGTCATTGTGAATCTGGCTTTTCCTATTGACTTTGCTTGTTGGAAGCCGCCTTGCAAAGTAGCAAATGGTGATCACAAGACCGAAGACACTGCAACCTTTGTAAATTCATATCGATTGCCAAGCATCTAAATTTTGATCGTGTGGTCAGAGGGATGCTGTAGGTTTTAAGAATGAAGACAGACTGACTGTAAGTCACTTTTTTCAGCATCATTGTAACTTCATTTCATTAAATAAATAATCATAAGGGCTACCTCTATAAAACTTAACTTTAAAACAAATGCTCTGAATTTCTTACAAGGAACATTTATTAGAATTACTGGTATGCAAAGAAAGATTTTTTTTTGATTCTTCAACAATTGTTCGGTTTTAATGGAATATAAAGTAGAAGAAGTTAAAATTGAACAGGGGAAAATATTTATGGAGAATCCGGAAATGGATGAGTTTTATATGATTTGGGAGGCTGATGAAAGTTTTAAATAAGGTTAAAATAAGATTAATTTCTTAATGATATCCATGATTTATTAATAATTTTGAGCAGCACTTAAATATCTTAATGTGTTTTAGAATTAGTCATCAATACTTTTAGGATATAAAAGTATTAAGTACTATTTTTTGAAATAAACAAAACATTTTCAAAAATTGTGATAAGCCACAGGGTAATTTACTTAGCTTTAGCTTAGTAAATACACACATTGGGGTATTTTGTACAAATCTCAAGTGTGCTGGCTTAGTCAAGGCATAGCTTAGTGCAATGTTTTTCAACATTGGCAACTTTAAACCCTTGCTGGCTGGGAATTTCAGGCGTTGAAATCCACACATCTTAAAACTTGGCAAGGTTGAAAACCATAGCGTAGTGAAATACCTGAATCCAGCCTTTGTGTGTATATTACCTATTAAGTCAAAAGATGAAGTGGTAGATATAGTATCTCTCTTTACAGATGCTAAAATTCTGGATAAGCATGCTTTGTATGAAATATCTATGTACTCCTAAAACTCTCATATTTGTAACCATTCAGTGGGTGAACTATTGCATCATAGGGCAAATTTTTTTGAACCACTTCAAACGGATTAACTTATTTTAAGTACCTTTTCTCAGTATTTTAGAGTAATGCCATTTTGAAGGAGTTGTGTAATCTTGTCAAGAAATATCTCTCTCAACAGGGCACAGGTTATCTATATTTGGGGCATGTATTGAAATATAGCTAGTACTGTATTGAAAGAATGGCAAATTCAACTTGGATTAAATTTGGGCAGAATCTTAGATTTTAGCAAGTAAGTGTAGTAGCTCAGAAACACCACCATATTGGGCAGTTTCCTCAGAAATTGGTCAGCACTTAATTCCATTTTATATAAAACCCGATTTGAAAATACTGAAGCCTGAAAACATAGCATTAATAGATTTGTAAAAAGAATGGATGCAGCTTTTAGTTTTAAAGCAAATTATAAGATTTATTTATTTGAAATGAGATGTTCTGTTTTCTTTATATAACAAGTTTGTTTTTGTACAGATTTTCCTTAAGGCTAAGACCTTTTCTTTACCCATGTCAGTTCATTGACTATTCAGAATTGAATAATGTGTAAATAATATGCAGTATTTATAAACTGTAGATTTGAACAGATTGGGTGTAGTGGTTAAGATGTCTGTTTGGAAATAATGGGTTGTAATCCTGCCTTAGACTTGAAGCTGTCATCTGGTTTTTAAGCCAGTTCCTTTCTCTCAGCCATTGGGAAGAAATAGACAGGGACAAACTACTTTTAGAAAAATTCTGCCAAGGGAACTGTAGGGATTCTTAATTACTAAGTATCAAATTGCTGTGGTGTCTACCTTTAGAAGTCCTTTAGTGCTATTAGAGATACTTAGAATTTGGCAATGATTTGGCAGGAAGAAAAGGAAACAATGGATACCATAAACCCAGGTAGATAAAAGGCAACATATCTTTGTTGCATGAAAAATAAAAATTAATGAGTGGGTAGAAATACCTGGAAAGTATCCAATGTTGTTCAGTACCAGGTGAATCTAAAGTCAAGGATTGTTTTTAATGATGTGTCACTCACTCTGGGAACCTCAATCTGAAAAAAAGTAGATTTAAGTATTAAAAACTAAAATAAGTAATGTCTAGGAACTTAGTTTGGGTGCTTAAAAACAGATATATGTGGATGCTTTAAGAACCATTGAAAGATAAAATGTTATTATTCCTATTCAGTGAAAATGAGAAAGAAAGATGATTAAAGCAGTATGCTGCAGTTCTTTTCTTATTTGCAGGAATGACAGTTCTGGATTTCAAAAATCCAGACTGCAGGTTGGCATCGGTCATAAGGAAAAATAAAATTCTTTGCTGCCAACTAGGGCTGTATACTGTGCTGTCTTGGTTCGTAAGTTGTAAGTTGAGCTGTTGACATTGGGTTTCAGGTATTGTACAGATACATCCATTGAGGTTATCACTAAACCTGGGAGCTCAGGCACTTATAAAGCAACAGGTGCTATAGAAATGATGTATTTGTGTAAACAGCAGCAGCAAAGTAATACATAGGTCCCACATATCCTCTGCTATACTGTTAGGACAACTGACCAATCTGTTAAACCTGCTTGCACATCCTGGCCTGTAGGAATAAATGGAATTATTCTAGTAAAATTAAGGCCCCTTTCTATAAGACAGTTTTGCAACGTTGCAAACTCTTCCCTCCAGGCAGGTGAATGGACATAGACAATACCAACGTCAGCTGATGGGGAGGGGAAGCGGGGCGGGGGAGAAGAGAACGGGCAATGCCTGGGGCCTCTATTCCCATCCCAGCAAAGGTGAGTGTTTTAGGGGAGGACCTTCCGCCTGCTCTGAAAGCGAAGGCAAAACGGGGCTTTTAGCTGGCTTGGCTGGCTGGCATCAGGAAGCGTCCCCTCCCCTGCTTTGAAGGTGGTAGCTGCCCTCCCCCCCTCCAAGGTGCAAACCAAGCGGGGCCCGGCTGGAATGTTCCACTCAGGAGGGGAGGGCGAGAAAGAGGAGGGGGGTGTCTGGAGGTGGAATTTCAAACGCACCAACGTTCTCTCGGGATCTGTTAAGCTCCAACCGCCGTTCCGCGGAGGGCACCTCCGATGTTGCGGGAGATGGAGACGCAGCCAGCCAGCCCGCCCAGGCCTGGCGGGAAGGCCGGGGGATGGAACCGGTGGGGGGAGGCGGGGAAGCCCGCCTGGCTCCCTCCCTCCCTCCGCGATGCCCGGGCTCCTCCCCTCGCCCATTCCCTTTCCTGGAGCGCCCGTCCATCGAGCCCTCGCCGCCGCCTCCTCGCCTCACCCCGCCTCGCGTGGGCTCCTGCCGGGAATGCCGCTGCGGGTCCGTTGAGTCCTGAGCCTGGATGCCGCTGATTCCGCCCTCTCTCTCTTGTGTCTCCCTCCCCGCCCTCCTGCAGGCAGGGCCGCCTCACTCCCCGGCCGCTTCCGAAAGGATGCTGGAGAAACTGGAGCTCGAGGATGAAGGTAAGCCCTGCTGGGCTGCGGTGGGGATGGGGAAATATGGGGGTGCGGGGAGAAAGCGGGTCACAGGGTGATTGAGATACGCGGACGTGAGGAGGGGGGCTGCTGGCAGATGGGCCGCCCACTATGGTTATTGTGGTCTTTAATAATTATGCCCCGTTAGGATGGAAGGGGAGATCCGGAGGTAAGGCTGGGTCCACCCACCCACCCACTCCCGTCTTACATCTGTCGCATCAGGTGTAATTCTGTTGGTGGGGAAAATCTGGTGAAGTGGTCCTCACCCACCCACCCCTGCCCGCTCTGAAGCTGGACGATTTTGAGGGTCTGTCATAGAGCAGGTGGTCGGAATGGTGCAGGCTGATGTCTGTGTACAGTACCATCCATCAGTTTTCCCGTTGTAAGCACACTCGGGTGGGCTTCCCAAGAAGCCCCTAATTTCAAAGGTATTCTGGCTCAAGGGACCAGATGTTGGGTTGGAATTTGAATTGCTCTGGGGAGAAGAGATCAGTGAATGTGCTGATAAAAGGTGATTGTTAGGTGGAGTTAAAGATGTATCTTCATGTATATTGTATAAAGGGGACAATGAAAAAAATATAATTGTGACCACAAGGGTGCATCTTATAGTTCTATATCACTTCCCATCTAATACAGGTAGAATTCAACTAGCAACCACCATTGGGAACAGAATATCTGTTGCTAAGCAAGGCAGTTGTGAGTCACACCCAATTTTATGATTTTTTTTTTTGCTATAGTTATTAAATGAATCACACAGTCTTTACACAAATACAGCCACCTCCATTGACTTTGCTGCTTAAAAGCCTGCTAGGAAGATCACAAATTGCATAACTCCAGGATGCCAACCACCACCATAAATAGATGCTGTTACCAAGTTCCCAGATTTTACTCAGATGACCATGGAAATGCTGCAGTGATCATAAATACAAAGACCAGTCATAAGTCACTTTTTACAGTGTCATTATAACTTTAAAGAGTTGCTAAATGAATAGCTGTAAGTCAAGCACTATATTGCAAACTGTAAAGCATGTAAACCTACCAGCTGCTAAGTTTCCATCTGCAGTAATTTTTTAAATAGGTATAAGATGTTCAAATCATGGAGTGGGGACATTATGAAGAAATTATTTTCATACTATTTAACTTTTTTATATTCCATTCTATTTCATCTTATTCAATTTTTTTTTAAAAAATCACAGGTTTTTTAGACCTCATCTGATTTGTTTACTGCTTCTGGGGTTTTTATGCTAGTCATTGACTAATTAACTATCTTGGTTGAACAGTACTCTTGGTTAAAAACTGTTAACTGTTTTCTGTGGCATTAATTTAACTTGCTAAAAGCCCTTTTAATTCCTTAAGCAATTTGTCTTTGAGGGATATGATGATAAGAAGAACACTGTTCCTTTTAGTGTGCAGTTGTGTCAATTTTCTGAAGTAATGTGGAAAAAAAACTGAGACTGGACAAAGGTAGAATAATTGTGTACGGTACTATAATGAGGAAGAGGTAATTAAACAAACCTGGATGCAGAATTTATACCTCTCACTCCTTAGTTGTTCCCCAAGTCCCCTGAAACAGACCTACTTTCATAGAATAAGTATGTTTTATGCCTTGGGTTTACTGTAACCCTCTAAAAGTGTTTCCTCTCCATAAATCCTCATAGTGAATAGGCCTTTTTTCTTGAATGTACTTTAAACCAATGTCCTCCCTCTCCCATAAAAAGAGGCAACTTGCTTCATGCAGTTGCTAGATCATCTTCTGCATTCAGATCTTCTATGGCAAGATGACTTTTTGGGACAAGATGAGACAAAATTATTGAATCAAAAATATTTTTTTAAAAAGTAAAACATTTCTAATATTGAATGTCAGATGTAACAGATTGCTATTATTCTCTAATGACATGCAATGTTCTGAATTGAGAGCCAGTGTATTAAATCATCTGATATACAAGGTTTTTTTCTCTATACTTTGTGTAGGCATTGTTGTTAGTTGCAAAGTTGTGTCTGACCCATCGCAACCCCATGGACAATGTTCCTCCAGGCCTTCCTATCCATCCCTGGAGTCCATTTAAGCTCATGCCTACTGCTTCGGTGACTCCATCCAGCCACCTCATTCTCTGTCGTCCCCTCCTTCTTTTGCCCTCTATCTTTCTCGGCATTAAGCTCTTCTCCAGTGAGTCCCTCCTTCTCATTAGGTGGCCAAAGTATAGGGTATAAGGAAGTGTTCAGTTGCATCAAACATGTTATATTGGAATATCTTTTTTTAAAAATATTGATTCTTTTATATGGTCCAGTTAAACATTGTTTACCAGATTGGAGAAGTAAAGAGGTGAAGGCTTAGATCACATTTCATACTAAGACATAATGTCTTTTACCATGGGTTAGCATGATGTGTGGTTCTTTCAGCCATTGGGACTGATTCAGCAAATCAAGGTTAACGCAAACACTAGCTTAGCATAATGTGTGGACTCAAACACTGAGTTGTTTTAAATTATTTGAAAGCATGAGGTGGGAGAGTCATAGTGGAAAGTTAGAATGTTAATTAATTGTATACAACTGGTTGTAGATCATTAATTTAACTACAACCAGTTGTATACACTAATTAACATTCATCCAGTCATCATTGATGAATTTATAAACAAATCAGTTGCAATTGATTTGTACGGTCCTACTGACCTGTTTTATAACTGTATATTTTATTTCTTAAGAGTCTTTTTGTAAAATAACTGGGAAAGATAAAATAGGGGTAGGTACTTTGTAACTTATTTGGATAGCAAATTATTCAGAGCATTAATGCTGAAACTCAAACTTTAATGCATGAATTTTCTTAGTAACAAATATTAGCCATCTAATTCCATAAGAGTTGATATAATAGACTTAATAAAGATATATCATTAAAAGTCTGCATGATTTGAAGATCCAACCTCATGAATAATGCATTGCAGTAATCCTACCTGGAGTTTACGAGACAAGAGATCAACATGGGTAGTGAATGATATACTTGCTGTTCTCAAAAACAAAACTTGTCTTATAATGTAGAAGCTACATTCCTGTATGCACAGTCTAAAAATCTGTTTTTACTTTGAAATATATGTGTTAAAGTTAGGATAAACATAAATTTAGTATAGAGCTGTTTGTAGTGATCAGTGAAATTTAATGCAAATAATATGATCTTTGAAATAAGATATAAATAATTGAAATCTCTTAAATATGTAACATGCAAGATTTATTTAAACAAAACATACATTATTTGAAACTCTGGAGACTTCAAAAGGTTTTCTTTGGATAAAGCTAGTTAATTTACTGGATTACACACACACACACACACACACACACACACACACACACACACACTCTTATGCCTAACTTTTTATTAGTTCATTTAACAAAGGATTTATTTTCTATTTTCCTTTGAAACATTTTAAGCCCCAAAAGTGATAAATAAATAATGGTCACACAATTATAAATCAGAGTTATTTTCTTTTTCCACTTCATCCAACTGCTTGTTTAATAAGGAATCTTTTAAATTGCAAAGTAAATTCTGAAATTACATTCCTAAATTAACAGTAAGGAGTAAGACCTACTGGGCACAGTGAAACTGCTTTGGATAAATAAGCAAAATTTCTAAAGGAACTTTAGAAATTCCCTGTGCTAAAATTAATTTAAGTACATTTGGTTCCTAGACCACCTCCTGAAAGCTATTTCTGATGTTGGTTGACTGCTGCTTACTTGAGGAAGTTGTACACAGATCTCACTGTGGGATGACTATAGATGTCACACTCCAGTGGGCAATAAATCTATTAATTGAGGCAGGTGTTTGCTTTTATAAATTACATTTTTTGAGAAGCTAGACATTTTAAATCTTAATTTAGATTATTGCTTTACAAACAGTAAAATTATTGTAGTTGCTGCATTTTGAAATCATTTAGAATATTATAGAGTATTCATTAAATGATTATATTGAAGTATATAAAGTATACTATATGGACCTTGGCCTGAAAAGCCAACAGAAAAATACAAGGAATTTGGTGTTTTGTTGTCTCATTTAAATTTGATATAAGTGTGTTAAAAAAAGGGATATTGGTAGAATCCAAGTCTTTATGTACTTTTGCTGAAAATCTGTTTGTCATTCTAATTCCCACTGGTTAAGGGTAATTATTTTCAGTGAATAGAGAGACATTCCCTCAACTTTTGCCATTTCCAAATTTTATTTTAGAAATTGACTATAGTATTTTCCATTAAATAAGTGTCTTCCAATTATAATTTTTTCATAGAGCCATTTCAGGCTTTTTTAAAAATTTGGGAAAATTTGCTGGTGGTTTTTTTTTAAGTGCTGGATTCAGGTTTAGGGAAATTTATCTATTCATTTTCTAGCATTTATGTCCTTCTCCAGCTCAGTCACAGATTTTGGATAACTCACAATGATACAAAACACAAAACCAACACTCAGCAATTCAGCTTCAGCAGTAAAAGATAACATTAAAAAACAGATTATAGTATTAGTGGCCCCATTTAACTGAAATGCCCAAAGAACAGCATGACTTTTACAACCTTTGGGAAAACTAAAAATGTGGGCAAGCTAGTCACAAGAAACAATTGATTTCCTATGACTGAGGGCAGGCTCCTATGATAGAGCCTTACCTCTGTTTTGATCCCTACCTTCTTAATTTCTCACAGCAGAAGCAAATCTTCATACCTTCTCAGCTTGCACATACACAATGGGAAGGCACCACATTGAAAAGACAGTCTTACCAATAACAAATTCCACTTTCCATAACAGTTCTTCTTGATAAAGTGGACTGACATGCAAAGGTCAGTTGGTGTTTATAGCTACCTCTGTTGGGGCTGTGCAACTTCAATTGGCTTCAGTGCTACACTAGGTTTGTGTTGAAACACTGAGGGTCATATTCTAAAATTGTGTGGGGCTGAGAGATATTTTATCCTATTTTTGCATCTCTAACATCAGGGAGATCAACTTGACCATTTGATTTATATAGCGGAGGGTATGAAATTTGTCCCTATGAACACCTTAAGCAGAATACCATGTTATGCTTTCTTCAGAAAAGGTTTGCCACTAATTTCCGTGATTCTAAAACTGACACAGTGACATTTGAGAGATCATAAAGGGGAGAATAGTTAAAAGGTTAAGAGTAGAAATCATGAAAATGATATGTGAGTTACAGAGATAAAAGCCTGCTGCTTGGAAATAACAGAACTGTTGTGCACAGGCAGAGTCCTTTCATTCCATATCTCCCACGAAAAAATGCAGTAATCAGGCCGTTTTTTAGTCAATTGGAAAGCAGAGCCCATAAGCTTCCTGAATTTAACTGTATTAAATACAGTGAACAATGCATTTAAAAATGTGCCCTATTTTCTAATTGCATTATATTTTGCGCATAATGATACCTAATTTAGAGAAATCTGAAATTCACCTCATTTATTTTGATGATATTAAAATTCCTATATTTTAATATATCACACTGCCTTCTCATGGGGGGGAGGGGTGGAATTATCGTCCCAGTGATTTACAAAGTATAAGAACCATTTTAAAATTGTTAGGTAACAATAAAAAATGATTTAATGATATAACAATGGTATGATGAAGAAAAGGGACTAATTTCATTACATTTTTATTCTGTTTTTAACTAAAATAATGATCAAAATGAGTAATTTTACAGCATTCCTTGAGCTTTCTGTTTTAA